CCCCCCCCCCCCCCCCAAGTACAAATGTAGTGCAAGGAGGTCGCTTACTGACTTGTGTTGTGGTCCAGAGGCCGGTACCGCGAGAGGGACCGGAACGTGTACACCCGCAGCGGGAGGATCATCAAGGGGAGAGGAGTCTTTGTAAGTACGCTCCACCGGCTCCGCGCCCCCGCGGGCCCGCACCCGGGTGTGATGGGGGAGGCAAGTATGAAATTGCCGTTCTACTGTAATAGGTACTTCGAATTGACAAAGAACCTTCATGGTTTGATATTTTGAGTGCAACTTTTTTCAAACGGTACCTATGAGGTTCTTCTTTTAAAAAATGTGCAACATTCGATTTATCGACTTTCAGTTGTTTGTTGTATTCAGCTCAGACAAGAAAGATATGATACTTCGAAAATTCGAGTGATTTTTGAATACCAGATCCATCGATATATTACCACTAGATCCCGCGTAAAGGCGTCAAAAGTAACCAAACAAAACAGTGCTTAGATTCATATTAAGCACTGTTTTGCCGTCAGTGTCACGCCGACCGTCGAGTGGAACAATCCTAAAATGCGCTGTAAAAAGATGTAAAAAAACATGCTTATAAAGAGAAAACAACATGAAATTTAGTATTTTTGGTAAGTTTTATAATTTTTATTAACAGATAGTGATAAATATTTGAAATAAATCAGTTATTCTTACCAAATTAGTACTTCAAGAAATTAAATCCTATTATTTTGCTTCGCGGTTATTTCTTTCGCACACATAATAACAGTTACATGCAAGACAAGGATGAAATAGGCCTATTTCAGAACAAGTGTAGTGGAGTCACATTTTTTTTTATTTTTTTATTTTTTTTTATTGCTTAGATGAGTGGACGAGCTCACAGCCCACCTGGAGTTAAGTGGTTATACTGGAGCCCATAGACATCTACAGCGTATTTACGCTGCCATTTGCGCATTTGCGCCACCCACCTTGAGATATAACTTCTAAGGTCTCAAGTATAGTTACAACGGCTGCCCCACCCTTCAAACCGAAACGCATTACTGCTTCACGGCAGAAATAGGTGGGGTGGNGCGCCACCCACCTTGAGATATAACTTCTAAGGTCTCAAGTATAGTTACAACGGCTGCCCCACCCTTCAAACCGAAACGCATTACTGCTTCACGGCAGAAATAGGTGGGGTGGTGGTACCTACTCGTGCGGACTCACAAGAGGTCCTACAACCAGTAATTACGCAAATTATTTTGCGGGTTTGATTTTTATTACACGATGTTATTCGATCACCGTGGAAGTCAATTGTGAACATTTGTTAAGTACGTATTTCATTAGAAAAATTGGTACTCGCCTGGGATTCGATCACTCCGTGTACCGCTAGATCAGATACGAATGCAACAGACGTCTGTACAACGGACGGCGAAGTGAAATCTGGTGTGTTTTGTGCAGACCATTTTACCGAATCTGACATGTATTTAATATATAAAACAATTTGATGGGGATTATGTTGTTGTGATTTAAAAAGCTCTTATCCATTTTCCCCACCGATGTACAAGGTACAATATAGCTAACTCAGGTATAATGATCTATAGTTATACAATATTTGTTGTTAATCATAAGGAATTAAATTGAAAAAATTGAATGAATATGAATTAAAAAAAAAAAAAATACTCAAAATATTCTTACAAAAAAAGTATAAAGTGCAACTCCGTAATACTCTGTTCGGAGCAGTAAAGTCTTAATATCGTAAGTTTAAAAGGGCGTAAGTAAAATGCTATGCGTGTAAATTTTTGCTTTATTTTTAAGGATATAAGGTTAAATTTGGAATAAAGTTATTGTAAAAAACTTTTTTTTCTGTCATTCATGGCGTAAAGTCGTAAGTGAATGTTAAAATAATCTAAACTGCACTTTATTGCTTCGGGAAAAGGCATAGTTTAGGTTACAATTATTATATTATACATCGTTTTTCTCCACTTGATGGTATAGTCAGATCAGTTAGTCGATGCCATATTTGTGTTTGGTTTTTGTATGTGATGCGTTATCTAGTGGTAATATATCGATGACGAGATCCGACGCGGAACTAACGCTGCAGAAACAGCTCGTTTCATATTAGATGGCAGCAATGTATAGATAATTAATTATAGTAGATATTTTGTTTAAATAAATATGTTAAATGAAAAAATACGAATATCATTTTTTTCTGTACAAATCTACAATTTCATACTTTAACCCCTAATATTAGATCCTTACATATGAAATTAGCGTTTTGTCTTACTGACCACTTTGATCTAAAATATCTCCCCTTTGGTTAAGAATTACAAATTCAAATTTATAAATTCATTTAGTTGGTACATATGAATTTTGAAAACAGTCATTTGTTTTTTCCTCATTATTTTTTCCTTTGGCGTCGCTTATTACCGCACCATGGACAACATGAAGTATCGGTATATTTACGAGTACGCAGTGCTGCAGAAACAGCTCGAAGGATGAATGATGTGTCCGGCGTTGGAGCCGCAAAAGAAGCGCGGTACATTTTTAGTTTCAACGTTTTCGTTCTGGAAATTTCGATATTCAGAACCAACCCCATAGACGGTCGGAGTCCAATGTGGAAAATGAAGAATTATGGATTATTGTGGAAGCAAATCCATCACAAAGCACTTCAGAGATAACTGCAGGCTTCGGGGTAAATGATAAAACTGTATTAATCCATTTGAAGCAAATGCCTACCTATGAGATGGCAAAAGTGCATAGATAACAACGGTACATATTTTGATTAATTAAATTTATTTTACAAAAAAAAATTGACTTTATATTCCTTCGGTACAAAACGCCAATTTCATATGTAAGGAGCTAATATAAGTGTAGCCCCCGGCGGCTCAGGACGCGGTCTCTGTTGCAGCGGTACCGCACGCCGTCCCGCTCCCGCTCCCGCTCCCGCTCGCGCTCGGGCACGCCGCCGCACTGGCGCCAGGCGCAGCGCCGCATCATCAAGCTGTCCGAGTTCGAGGTGAGCAGAGCCGTCCACACTACACTTAATAAACTTATTCAATTATGTATCTTATTAGCATTCGCAAGTCGTCGTGGCCTAAAGGATAACACGTCCGGTGCATTCGTGTTGAAGCGATGCACCGGTGTTCGAATCCCGCAGGCGGGTACCAATTTTTCTGATGAAATACGTACTCAGCAATAAATGTTTACAATTGACTTCCACTGTGAAGGAATAACATCATGTAATAAAAATCAAACCCGCTAAATTATAATTTGCGTAATTACTGGCGGTAGGACCTCTTGTGAGTCCGCACGGGTAGGTACCACAACCCTGCCTGTTTCTACCGTGAAGCAGTAATGCGTTTCTGTTTGAAGGGCGGGGCAGTCGCTGTAACTATACTGAGACCTTAGAACTTATATCTCGAGGTGGGTGGCGCATTTACGTTGTAGATGTCTATGGGCTCCGGTAACCACTTAACACCAGGTGGGCTGTGACCTCATCCAGTCATTTAAGCAATAAATAAATAAAAAACAATGTATAATACAAGTTCGAAGGAGACGTGAGCGTGCCTGTGATTTAAACTTTACTTAATATGGTAAATAAAAAATAAAAAAATTCATAAAATCGTATTCTGATTCATTATATTATCATTTTGTCTGTTTCAAGGTTGAAATATATATTTTTTGTAACTTCTGAAAGGCTATATAGACAATATTTGGTCAGACAATATTCAAATAAATCTCATTTACATGTTATACATATTTAGCTCTCGAAACCCCATTATAATGGAAATAAATAAAGATGCTGGATTGCTCTGCGGAATTGTTTGAGATGATCCCACCATCTCGTTTGTACCATCGCACCGCCCGCCACCGGAGTACAGTTCATCCATACTATTTAGAACCACTGCGTTTATCCACAGTGCGAGATCTTTTCTGCCACGTACCATCCGGCTATGGAATGAACTCCCCTCCACGGTGTTTCCCGAGCGCTATGACATGTCCTTCTTCAAACGAGGCTTGTGGAGAGTACTTAACAGTAGGCAGCGGTATGAGTGCGTAAATCAACCGCGACCATTCACGTCCACGTTACGCTCAGACTGGCAACGATGAGCGCTCGTGAGTCTACGTAATGTAACGCCACGTGCGCGTGCGCCGGCGCAATTAATGATTGCAATTGTGTGTCAGCGCGCCGAGGGGGAGCGAGCCCAGCGCGAGCAGCGCGCGGCGCGCCGGGAGCGGCCCGCCCGCGCCGACACCGGTGCGTGTTCACTCTGTTTATTTACAAATCATGCCTTTTATATAATCTATGCTTGACTTCAATTTCACAAGTCAGACGAGTCTTGTTACTTTAAATATTGACAGAGAAATAAAAATAACTTACCATCAAAACATGATCTCCTGCGGTCCCCTTTCTTGATGAACGCATCACGTGACCACCGCTGGAGACCGCTCGAGACGTAGACTTCAACCCTCATGATACACTCTCTAATCTAATGATTCTCTATCACATTATTTGTGTTGCCCATTTAATAGTTAATTAGTATAGTCGGTGTTCTCGTGTGGGACTCCTGGGACTGCACGACGCTAACTTTGTATTTAATGTTCGTGGCACAGAGGAGGGCGGCACCCCCGAGCGCCCCGCCCCCCACCCCGCTCACCACCCCGCGCCCCACCCCGCGCCCAAGGGAGGAGCCGCCGGTCAGTTGCATATCATTCTACATTTCTTTCTACCCAACTAATTTGCTTTTGTTTATATATTAATAAATTATAGTCATTCGTATTTCAAAAAAGACAAACTAAATAAAATATATGAATACTGAAATTATTATAAGTAATTTATTTATTTAAGGATTACCAACAGGGTTTACATTAAGACATAAAATAACATTGACATGTATAGAACAATTGCTAACTGCAATTCTAATTAGAGGCAATCACAGCATGCATTACATTAATATATCGACAGAGATTTAACAATAATAATAATAAAAAAATATTGGAATTATTATATGGTAAAACAAATATAGTTAATTGAATGTGTCATGTGCAGACGCGAGCGGCGAGCGCGTGGACTACAACGCGCTGGACTTCGAAGCGGACACCGAGCACGACGGTCAGTGCCGCCGCCGCTACTCCGCGCCCCCCCGCTACCCCCCACCCACACAACATCTAATGTTACGATTTCTCGTGAGCAGATGAACATAACTTCCGGAAACGCAAAAATGAAGGCTCCCCGACGAGGACGTCCTCCCGGGCAGAGAAACTCGCCCTGGCGCTCGGAGTCAACCCCAAGCACGGGGAGGACAGGTCGGTAGCCCTTCTGTCACCTCAAGAACTATATATACCGGGATCTAGTGGGACGAGGGCAAGAAACAAAAAATAACATGAATGTTTTCCAGCCGCGACAGCTACCGCCCCCCGCGCGACGCCCGGCGCGACCTCCCCCCGCGCCTCCCCTCCGCCGTGACCCCCGCGCCCCCCGCCGCGCCCCCGGACCCCGCCGCGCCCTACGACCCCGTCACGCTGCTGCGCTACTCGCTGCACAGGGACAGGAAGGCAACCGACACCAGGTCATTATTTATCATAACTATGTGACAGTATTTTGAAGCGGAGTACGGGAGGAACTGTGCTGCGACCTCGGCGCTCAGACAGCAGCTCTCGGCGCGGACCGAGCGTCGGACGAGAAGCCAGGGGAGTCGTTTAGTGGGGGACCTTTATCTGGGCAGTCTCAAGTACATCACGCGCCCCCCTCCGCTGTAATAATGTTCACGTCTTGTCGACGTGCCGCGGGCCTGAGATGCTGACGGGCATGTACCGGCGAGAGCTCCCACGGGAAGGTGGCCCCGCCCTGTCTCTTTCTACCGCGAATTGATCATTGTTCGCTATTTGACGAGTGAGCCAGTCGCTACACCGGACAACGAGCCGTCCGGGACAGCGCACGCTACGGCAAAATCAACTTTAAATAAATAAATAATAAAATAAAGAAGTAAAGTTCTATTTTTGAGAGACCTTCAACGGTTTGTTTAAATTGAATCTATTACAATATGCTTGTGTTTTTTAAATCGAAAATTAAAATACGGTAGTTAATTTATTATTATTATAATAAAGTTACAATTTATAGGAAAGAAGAGCTCGAGCGAGCTGAGCGCCGCGACAAGGACGACAAAACTGACCGCCACAAGAGCGACAGAGACGACAAGCATCGCAAGCGTTCCGAGTCCAGGGGACGCGACCGCAGGCCGAGCGACGGGGACCGGCGCAGGACCCCCGACCGGGAACACAGGGGCCGGGGGGACAGGGACAGGGCGCGGGACCGGAGGCGGCGGTCGCGCTCCGACGACAGGTTCGGTACTACGAGTCAGGTTGCAAGCATCCCGCACAGCGACGGCAGCGCGCCGCCCGGCCCGGCCACAGCACCCAGTGCCGACTGCGCCGCACTGCTCTTATTCAAATATAAGCGACCTAAATCCTTATAGTTATTATCATTTACATTTAGCTTAGAGAACGACTGTCGTGGCGTGGCTTGTCGTGTCGCGGCGTGGCGTTACGTCGCCGGTCCTTCGTGCTACATTACGTACCTGTCACTTGACTGCTGATGACTCCGTATGTTTCAGGTCCAGCTCCCCCCGACAGCGCCATCGCAAGAGGTCCAGAGAGGCGCCCGGCTCCGACGCCGCCCGCCCGGACGACAAGCGGAAGGTGAGTACCGTCCCGGCGGGGGGGGACAGGGGGGCGGGGGCCGCAGTGCTGTCTCACGGTGACCGTTGCTCCCCGCAGGAGGACGAGCGGAACGAGGCGCGCAAGGAGCTCATGGAGATCGTCCGTCTCATCAAGTCTCGACAAAAGAACAGGGAGAACAAGGCGTCCGCAGGTACGGGCCCGCTCCTCCACGCTGGTATTCGTTAAATAAGTAGAATCTATAAACATTAACATATTAAATGTTTTGATTTCTAGTGAGTAAAGACAAGGAAGCCGGCGAGTCTTCCGGCTCGGAGCCCGAGGCGTCGCCCCGCGCCCCCGCCCGCGCCCCGCCCCGCGTGTAGCTGCACCAACACGTCACTCTACATAAATATGGCCGATGCAATATACAAAAGTTATATCAATGAGGCGCCAGATCCTAACACCAATTCAATAAATTCACTGACAAGTAATCGGTTAAACAAGGTTCCGTAACAAATGATCACGTTGCCGGAGCGCCGCCCGCCCGCGCCGCCGCGCAACCTCGCAACCTCATGTCGCGTCGCGTCGTGCCGCATCGTGCCGCGTGGTGCTGCGTCGTGTCGCGTAATGCTGCGTCGTGCCGCATCGTGCCGCGTGGTGCTGCGTCGTGCCGCGTCGTGCCGCGTGGTGCCGCATCGTGCCGCGTGGTGCCGCGTCGTGTCGCGTAATGCTGCGTCGTGCCGCATCGTGCCGCGTGGTGCTGCGTCGTGCCGCGTGGTGCCGCGAGATGCCGCGTCGTGCCGCGTGGTGCTGCGTCGTGCCGCGTCGTGCTGTCGCGTTAAATTTTAAAATATTTGTTGTTGTTATGACTCGTCGTTTCACAATTTTATCAATATACACTTTGTAACTTTACCCGATTTAATTACCACTTGGTAATTAAATCGTTTTTCCTCGTGCATTTCAATCGAAGTTTGCGTGCCAATTTATAAGTATAATTATTATTCACCTATTTGTTTAACATAAGCTCCTGCAACCCGGGTATACCATATTTTGGTTAAGTTAAAAATTGTGCATGATAGGTTGGAGTGCGCTGCGGTAAACTTCAGTTCAAATAATTTCCCCGTAAAACGAGTGACGTCATTGTATAAGACTCCAGTTCCTTCGAGAACATTGTTTGTTAATTAAATCATTTTATTAAGTAATTCGCGTTAAGAATGCTGTTAATGAAGTGCTGACCAATAAACTAAGAACAGCTTTCAATTTTGTTCATTTATCGGTAGGATTAAACTAAAATCGTGGTGGAACTCCGAGAGCACGCTTCCGTTTTTTTTAAATATCCATAATGAATTCAAAATAATGTATGTTTGTGTTGAATGTTTTATGACAATAGTTAAAGTTAGTTTGGTGACATTTAATACATAGTTCTGTGTGACCTTAGTGTGACTAATTATAGATACATGCATGTGTTAACTGAACTCACGCGACAGAAGTGAAACTTCTCTACGAAGGCCGAGCCCCGCGGCGCTCCACAACACACATTTGCGCGGCACACGATAGTAAAGCGGATGTCCCCCCCCCCCGTCTGTACGTGCAGTCGAGAAGTGTCACTTCACATAGTCCGCGGCGGCGGGGGGAATGTTCATGAAAGGTTGAACGGTTGCTCTGTGCTCAGTTTAACATTGGTGAGTGTCGAGTGTATCGGAGCGCCCTCCCGCGGAGCTCGCTGTCCTGTTCAATAAACTTGATGAACTCTGAAACGTGTTTAATTTATACTCGTGACCCCGGGCGACCCCGGCCGCGGGCTCGTCCTCTGCCTCGTGCTTATCCTTGTGCTACACTTTTAAAACGAAGACATCACATTGAAGTCAATAAATTACAGAAAGAAATCTCTTCATTCACAAGTAAGATTATAAATAAATTTGTAATTAGATTTTCCTCATAAGTTTTTAAGAAATTGCTGGGAATAATTACTGAGAGATCAATTATTTTTTGGTCGGAGGTGCTAAATGTGTGCTAGGATGCTATTGTTGCGTTTGAACCTGAGGAGATACTAAGGTCCACAGTCGCGTGTCCACTGACAAGTGAGTGCCGCGGCGGGCGGCGCGGGGCTCGTACCGTGAATGTCTTTTCTTTTTCCCTACCTACACTGATAGCCTTGAGAGGCTATTTCAGCTTCTCCTTGACGTATAGGTGAGCTCACAGGACTCAAACCGGAGTGTTACTAACACTGGGCCTAGCAAGAGCAGTGCTTCGCAGAATCTACCACCGGAGAGAATGTCGCTGTTGCATACTCCCATTAAAAGATCCACTTCCTTTTTTACATCGTCAATGTAAGTCGTCGTGGCCTAAAGCATAAGACGTCCGTCCGGTGCATTCGTATCGACCGATGCACCGGTGTTCGAATCCCGCAGGCGGGTACCAATTTTTCTAATGAAATACGTACTTAACAAAATGTCATCAATTAACTTCCACGGTGAAGGAATAACATCGTGTAATAAAAATCAAATCCGCAAAAATTGTAATTTGCGTAATTACTGGTGGTAGGTCCTCTTGTGAGTCCGCACGGGTATATACCACTACCCCGCCTATTTCTGCAAGCAGTAATGCGTTTCGGTTTGAAGGATGGGGCAGCCGTTGTAACTATACTGAAACCTTACAACCAGAGACGTCTTAAACTAGGCAGGGACCCTTGGGCACACAAGAATTTGAGGCCCTTTTGGAAAGTAAAAAAAGCGAATTATAATAACATTTTTTTACTGAGTACGAGGGCGGCACTGAAAATTTCGGGAATTAACGAAGTGACACAACATTACTATTTAAAAATGTATTTATTGCTTTTCGAAGTATTCTCCGAGAAATTTGACACATTTTTCCATACGATGGAACCAATCATTGAAAAAACCATTCCATTCGGAAGTTGGGGTCTCCAAAATGGCCGTTTTGTAGGCGTCGACAGCTTCTTCAGGTGATGAAAATCTCTGTCCACGCAATTTATTCTTTATTTTAGGGAAAGTATAGAAATCATTAGGGCTTAGGTCGGGGCTGTACGGCGGATGGTCTAATAATTCTATGTGTTCTTGCTCTAAAAACTCTTGTTCTGTGCGCGGTGTGAGAACTCGCATTGTCGTGATGGAGGATGATGCGGCGGTTGCAGTTCTCTTTACGGAGTTCAGAAACGACCTGTGGCAAACAAATGCTAGCATACCATTTTGCATTAACCGTTCTTTGACCCTCAAGAGGAATAGTCGTAACATGGCCGGTTTTGGAGACAAACGTGGCCACCATTTTTTTGCAACACTCCGTAAACGAACAATTTTTGTTAGCTTTAACTCATTTTCGAACACCCAAACTCGTGACTGGTTTTTTGTTTCGGGTTCGTACGCGTATATCCAGGATTCGTCACCTGATACAATGTTGTATACAGCATTTGAGGATCCTGCGTGGAATCTTTCGAGAGTTCTGACGCACCAAGTAACGCGAGCCGCTTTTTGCTCTTCACAGAGCGAATGCGGTATCCATCGGGAAAACAACTTTTTTACACCTAATTGTTCATGCAAGATTATTTGTATTTGACTCATGCCAATGTCTAAAGTTGCCTGAATTTCGCGGTATGTCACATGTCGATCTTCCTCAATCAGCTTACGCACAGCATCAACGTTTTCTTGGGTGACTGCAGTTTTTGGACGACCTTGACGGGGATCATCACTGAGCTTGACACGTCCACGTTGAAACTCAGCAAACCAGCGATAAATTGTGGTTTTGGATGGGGCTTCATCACCAAATGCAGAAATCATCCGGTCAACACACTGTTTTTGTGTTAAACCACTTCGAAAGTCATAATAAATCATCGCTCTTGAATTTTCTCGAGTCAATTCCATTTTCTCAACGACTAAACAAGTTTGACAAAACCTCGTGAGAAGACAGAGAATCTTTTTTTAAATAAATAAATGGTATTCGAGGTTTTAAACCAAGGAGTTTTCAATTAAAATGATTTTAATATGACAGGAACAGTGGAAATATTCCATTCCCGATACTTTTAATGCAGCCTAGTATGACCATTTATTATAGGTAATCAAATACAGTATGATATAATATTATGTCATTAATGATATTAGAATGCTGCTGGTTTTTTGTCGATAACGGTTTCTTTTGGGATTTCTGTTGAGCAAAATCTTTTATTATAGGCATAGTATATGCCTTGTAAATACCTTCTGATTACTGATTTGTGAAAAAAGTGTAATGTACCTGACAAAAATGTTTTGAGAATAAACGTGTGACAGAAATTGTCGGTCTTTCGGGGCCCCCTGAGAATGGGGGCCCTGGGCACGGGCCCCGTGTGCCCTTATGGTAGAGACGGTATTGCTTACAACTTATATCTCAAGGTGGGTGGCGCATTTACGTTGTAGATGTTTTTTTTTTTCCTACCTAAGCTGATAGCCTTGAGAGGCTATATCAGCGTCGCCTTAACTAGTAGGTGAGCTCACGGGGCTCAAGCCTGATGACGTTGCTAACACGAACCCTAGCAAGAGCCGTGTTTCGCAGAATCTACCACCGGATCGGAAACGCGACCCACTGAGAAGATCCGGCGAGAAATTCAGTGGGCTGTGTCTGAGGGTTAATTTACTCGTCGAGCCCTTCGTCGTAAGCGACGGGTTCAACAAGAACGATGACTGGTGCTTGAGGTACCTAAAAGCACCGTTAATAGATCCGGAGGGTCGGGGACCCTTCGGTCCACAGGATCGGGTATGTAATTACCGGCGGCCACGAGAAGAGAGTTCTCATGTCGCGCCGCTTTATCGAAGTGCGTTGTAGATGTCTATGGGCTCCAGTAACCACTTAACACCAGGTGGGCTGTGAGCTCGTCCACCAACCTAAGCAATAAAAAAAAATAACATTCATTCATTTTAGGTATAGTCAAAATTCTCCAAGGTATCAAGGCTTGTATTTGTAAGTAATATTTATGATTATAAACTACATGCAATGTACAAGAGAATGTATGTATAGAAATATTTCCACCAAACATATGATACTACAACATATAAAGGACGACATAACGGCAGTTGAGTCCGACGAACATAGTTATGTTAGCGTCGCCGCACATGCACAAAACGCCGCCACCGGCATATTTCCCGCAATTTTCATACATTTTACATGTAGCCTTGGCGGCCACCGGCGCCAACCGTATTCGCCGAGTCCACAGACTCGTTCTACGATATAGATAATAAAAATACTCCAAATTTTACAATCCGTTTCTTAATGTTAGAGTGGGATCACCGTCGTCCCTGAGCGCTGTGAGGCACACAACGTTCCTATCGAAACCATTTAATATGAATAACAATAATTAAATTAATTACTATATCAAATACTAGCTTATAATTCGGGCGTCAAGAAAACTGATGAACAATATGATGTTGTTTTCTGTTGACGTCAGTGGTGTAGGGTGGGCAGCTTATGGTCTCCGGAACAGCTCGACGCGCCGACCATAGGGAATAATAATACACTGAAGCTGACCAGGTTCACTCAGAGAGGTCAAATCCAGGCACGATAAAATTAATTAAAAAGTCAAGCTCCAACAGCCTCTCAGAATTAAATAATCTGGATTAGTCGTTCGGAATGAGTAGGGTATATTTTATGGTACACACAGAGGGCACATACAGATGATACGTACAGTGTGTTCAACTAGCAATTGGCTATTGCATAATACACAATACATTTTTCCTACAATATATGTACTTACTACATTTTAAAACAGATTATATAGCAATAAAAACCTTCCGCATTTAGTAGGAAGCAATAATGCAATTTTGGAGGAAGCTAGCACGAGAAAGAGATATATAATTTTCCCTAAGTCTTGCTCCAGCACTCCAACAAAAGTGGAGGTCGCGCGAAGAATGGACGGATTAGGATACCGAATTAAAATAATAGTCAAAATACAGATTAGTGCTCAACATTTTTATCTTGAACAAATTTTCCTTTTTTAAGTTGCTGGTTACTTCAAACTTAGTAATTAGAAGTTTAGCTTGCCAATTTAGATGTAAATATAACTTTTTGTTGAAGTCAATATTGTATACTTATATTTTAATAGTAATTGCAAATTTCGATCCCTGAAGTCATGAGTGTCCTTCAATGTCTTCAGGGATTACATCCAGGTCTCTATTGTGGTTTCTTTGGTTTTCGCTATTTGTAGACAAAATAAAATACATCTACGTCGTAATCTCGCGTTTTTTACTGTCAATGTATTATTTCTGAGGCTTCGAATACTTAAAAGTCTTCTTGGTCACGATCGACTGAAGTGTTACAATCAATTAGGATACCTTCGGCCCACTTTTATCTCGAAACCTTAATAATAAACTTCTGGCTAAAGTTACAATGTAAGTTGTTCTTCGATTGGCCCAGGACCCACTTGCAAGCGTCATTTACTGTTTTGTGAAAACCGAGCATGCGTCCTGTAATATTTTGGGTTCTCCTGACACAGAAAATGGCTTCATGATTGACGAAGAAGCGAGTAAAACTGGAATAGGTGTATTGTCTCAACGAAGAAGAGATCACTGTGTAACAACAAGAGAGCTACTTGCTGCGGTAAAGTTATTGCAGAATTTTAGTAAATACAGAGGTAGTTGTTAGGACGAAGTTTTCATTTGAGGATTAAACATGTCGCGTTAAAGTAGCCTCTGCAATTTAAGTACCCGAAATATCAAGCAGCAAGATTGATAAGTGCTACAGGAATTCGATTTCGTTATTGAGCATCGCAGTGGAAGATCTCACACAGACCCACTGTCAAAAAGATCTTGCGTTGAGAACTGTGAGCACTGCGTTAGATTGAAGACTGTGCCCATGCGGATGTAGGAGAACGGACCTTAGCGGTGAATGGAAGGGAGCCTTAAAGTAAGCTCAGAAAAATAATGCGGATATCAAACGAATCCTCGAGTGGCTTAAAACTAATGTACGTGAGCGATGTTGCAGCTGTGAGCTCAACTACAAAAGATTGAGCACAGTGCAACAGTTTGGTCATCCAAGAGGCAAACGTAGAAAAGGTACACTGAAATTGTACAAAGTACGGGGCAACTCCGTGGGAACGAATCGCACTGGGCGTCGCCGGCCCTTTAAACGGAAGTAAATATACTTTCAGTGTTCTTTTTAATACTGGGTTAAAACTTAATTTAAATATCATCACTCTCTCTGGAGAATAATGAATGCATAGGCATAGGCATGCTTTAAGCCCCGACACTTACACTGCCATAATAATAAACACAAAATAGTTCGACAAATTATGGCAAAATAAATAACAATAAAAGAAACAATTGTGTAAGTTTTGATTTCGATTAAAGATTGAAGTGTAAATTAACGAAGGGTGCAAAAGAAAACTTTTTGGCGCAATCGAAGCTTGTTGCCAAGTTTTCTCAGTTAAAATGACACACGGACGTCGGCAAATACACAAATTTAAATTTTTAGCGGCGCATGGGCATTTACGAAGATGTCGTTTATACTTTGTTTTCAAAGTTAATTATATATAATAATAAACTGAATTAAAGAAAAAAAAACCCGAATAACATTCAAGGTAATGTTTTACTGAAGGCTTAACTTACCCCGATTGACTGTATTGGGAGACATTTGAATATTGTGCTAACTACCAGCCAGTCTTCTTCTTCTTCTCGCATCGGTTTTCTCAATGCTGAGGGTTGTCACCACCTCCTCGCAACAAGAGTTTATTGTGAATCACTACGCCATTTGTTCCTATCTGCCGCCGAGTGTAGAGCATCGTGAACTGAGGTTTTTTTTTTTTTTTATGTTTGAANGATGGTGGATCAGATTCAGCCAGGCTGATGCCCAGCGTGTGCCAATCCACCACAGTCCTCGTGACGGGAACGGAGTCGGGAGCGCGACCGAGCTTCATAACGACGGGACGGTGGTCTGAATCTAACTCTGAAACTACTTCGATCGAGTGTAAGCTCAGAGTTACGTTTTTTAATAACGCTATGTCGAGTATATCCGGGAGAACTGAGGTGTCGAGAATAGTGTGGATCAGTGTGCTTGGTGCGAGTTTCTTAGCGTTCTCCATAGCGTAAAAGTTAAGCCAATTTTGTATACAGTTGGAACAGCGCCCCTAGCGGCAAACGTACGCAAACGATCCCATTCCATACAAATATGAGCTAACTTTTACGATATCGAGAACGTTAAAAAACTCGCACTAAGCACACTGGTCAGTCTAACGTGTCGGGCCTCTACCTCGTGGTCTTTTTCCGTCCACTTTGCCAGTGACCATTAGCTTCTTCCAGTTGCCGTCATCGTTTCTGGCAATGTGGACAAAGTATTCCAGAACTCTACGTAAGCAGATGGTAGAAAGCCTCGTCTCTAGTTCTTGGAGGATCGATACGTTGGTGCGACGTGATTTCAAGGGATTTCCTAGCATCTTTCACCAGCACCACATCTCAAATGCATCAATACGGTCGGGATCGGCTTTCTTCGGGGTCCAGGTCTTTGCGCCCTGAAGAAAGCCGATCTAACAGCCAGTAGCTAGCAATATTGAAAACAGCCATTTTTCCATTCAAATTATTTCTAGACTGTTACATTTCATTTAACACAGAACGAACTAACGGTATCTGGAGATCTGGCAGTTTGTTTAACTTGGGTTTTCATGTGGGTTGATTTCACAACAAGAGGATCCCGAGTGTTAGATAGGCGCTAACCATCTTCTGCTTTAAAGTTGGGAGGTTTTTATTTCATTACAATGGTCTGGCGCACCGTACGTCCAATTAATTTGTGATCTTTAGTACTTATATCTGTTATTTAGTAAAACCTTCTAGAACAGTTAGCGCCTCTGTCCAGAACGTATCGACAGACTGCAGACTCGTGCACCCGGTTGTTCTCATCATCCGCATTCTGTCCTCTGGCCTCTGTATGAGGGCCCACAGTTACAGTCCAGCTTGGAGACACCTGGATCCTGCAAAGGGATGCTGGACTCAACAGATCTTAGTTTCTTATGTGGTCTATAAAATGATAATATAGACGCACGTCTAAGATTCTGCCGTCCTTGTCTGTACCGCCCTTGGTGTACGGCCGGAACACAGGCCGTTCCGCTGTGGCTTGGTTTGGTTGGTGGTGACGACGACGTGGAAACTTCAGGTTGTTCACGATTAACACGTGCTTCACACGCTGAAGTTCACCTTGACTCTCATACAACTGAGACATAAATATGGATTATTATTATATGGATTATTATCTGAAATAAAGAATTAAAAAAAAAAACAAAAAAAAAAGCGCACGTTACAAGGTAGGTGGCAACATCCACGGTGTGAGCTCTATGGGTTCCGGTGACCACTTAGCAATAGGTTGTGACCTTGTTAACTTTTCTATGTAATAAAATAAACAACGCGCAAAGGAGCTAAGTTATCCTTAATTACATTCGCGACGACCGCGACAACGACCTCGCAGGCGGATCGTGTGATGATTGCCGCAGATTTAATGAAAACGACGGTGTCAAGCCACTCGGGCTTGCAACATGCCTTTCCGCCAGTGCTCAACATAGGAATTATCAGCCAGATAGGTATAATAAAGGGTAGATATTTGTTGACACTGGAGAAGCAGTAAGAATAGCTCGAGTAAGGCGAGGCGAGTACCTTATGATGTTAAGCTCGACTAATATTTACGTGTTATAAGTACCGCTGTCAACCGCGGCGTGGGCCCGCTGTCAGTACCGGCGCGTGCTTGGACAATCAAGTACCAGGAAACGTTTCGGCACAACAATGCAATATATAAAAGTCAAGTGTTGTTACAATGTCACATGTCTGTGCACGGCAGACGGTAAAAAATCCACTGAGTAGTATTACCCTACGAGAGCTCAGACAATGAGAACGGTTTAAAAATTCGACAATGATACAAAGTCATGCACGCACGTAAGGCCGATATCATAACAAAACGAGTCGCAGATAGCCGCGGCACCCGAGACGCGATCCCACGCACCGCGCCCACCGAGCTGCAACTCTGACACAACTTACTACGCACGGGTCACAGCCGGCTGTGTAATTATTCATTCATTGATCGTTCTGTGCAACGTTCGCGCCCTGATCCTTAAGACTGAGATAGGAATAAGGAATACTTTATAATTATTTCAGGCTTTTATCAACATAGATAACCAACAGACTTCCATTAAGTTTGAATATGTATAAAATTCACTCATCACATTACAAGAGTCAAACTGAATTCTTCTAATTTAAAACTCAGTTAAGTTTCGAAACACGGTAACTGACAAAAAACTAGAATGTCGGTCGGTCGTAGGTCGCGGTGCATCTTGATTCCTGTTTGTGATGCAGCGCGCGTGCTTGTAAGCGGAAGTATAGTGGTATTATCGATTTGCTTATGACAGAAAATGCGTTGAATGGAGAAGGTGGTCGCGCGGGCGAGGCGGCGGGGCGGGGCGCGCTCGGCAGTGCGCCGGAGGAAGCGGGCTGCGTCACACGTCCTCTCGCAGCCCGCTAATCGAGATATTCCGAGTTTCGTGCAAATGCTAGTGTTTTTATGGCGGTCACATTATTGCGAGTGTTGGTGCTGGGTGTTATCGCGGCAGCGGCCGACGGTTTGTTGTTTTTCGTGTTTCGTAATGTGGTTCAGGCAGTCCACGTGCTCGGCCCGGGAGCTAGCCGTGTTTACAGCGCTCCACGCATGCGCCTGGCTTGTTTGCGCCGGCCACCGGGTCACCGGCCTAACCTAGCCTGTCCCCATACTCTATAGCTATGTTTTGGTCCTTCAAGTAAGTCTAGATGTAGAGCTAGAGAGGCACGCGAGGAGCGACGGCACGGCACGCACGGTAAGGTGATCGATCCTGTTTGGAAACTATGTTGTTTGTCCTTCGTAGCCGCGCTATGATTTGTGTTTACACACCGTCTCGTTAGCGTCGTCCTCTCGTAACATTCTTTGCTTGCTTACGATTTGCATACTGCGTATTTAGTTCACTAGATGTCTTGTTTCAAAACAAGAAAAAATAAATCTGTATGTTTCTAATATACGGTCAGTTGACCTTACCAATACAATCCAATTAGTTAGAACGAAGTTAGATCGAACTGCCTTGATTTCGAAGTTCGTTGTGCTTCGTAAGTTAAAAACAATATAATTGGTCCGTCACTGGCACGTCACTGGGTCAGGTATCCAACGATCCAATTACGAACTTCAACGGAGAACGTCGGACTTTTTTTATTTTCTCACAGTTTTGATCATAATCCGGTCTCCGAGGCGCCATGGGGCCCTCGCTTTGATATGAAACAAAACATCGTTATCGGTAAAGTTATTAGTTAACGCCGCACCGGTGGCTTGTATAGAGAGACGTTAATTAACGTGTAGCGATGTGTTGTACGTACGTACGCACGCACGTCGTGAGACCGCGTTACTCGGAAGATGCGTCCAAATATTATTGTTATCCCCATTACGAATATCACTAATTTATATAACATTCAGTAATTTTTTATTGCTACTTACTATAATTTTGTAGTTGCCTATCGTGTCTTAACTATTATTTGATTGATAAATAAATTACGCGCTTTTTAGTTAATCAGCTTAAAATTCATATAATTCGTGTTAATGCTTTTAGGAAAAGGCTTTGTTTCAAGTTAAGGTTTTAGAATTCGGTAACCAGAGCGTTGTGCGTTTATAATTGAAATATTTGACAAACATAAACTTACTACTTCCATCTCGAAGCGATATGACCTGTTTTATACTACAATTGAAAGTGAACCATTGAAATTTTACATAAACAAGAAATGTTTAGAAATATCATCTTATGAGTGTCCAATTAGAATCTTATTAGCCACAGATTCGATCACAAGCACGCATCACCTGATGTTATATTATTTATCACTTCCAATTATAGAGACGGCCGACAAGTAGCAAGTACAATTCATAGACAAATCTACAAATTACTTACACACATCGTTTACAGATTGTTCGCAGTGAGCAGTCATGAGCCACGAATTTTCTATTCGTTATTTTACTTACGATTAGTGCTCTGAACATTCAAACCATCCCTAAGAGTAAGTCATCGGTAAACGACATGGACAATTTGAGGCCACAAACGACTTTCGAAGATAAAATATCTTGGCTGTGACGTCATACCCATAACTCAAGCTTTCCTTATTGCTGTACGAGTCTCAATGTTATCAGAGTAATGTGTTGCGGACGTGGAGCTTATATTTCATTAGTTGTATTGTTTATTCATACATATAAAATATGTATTAATAAGGGTAGTAGTTTCTCGGGTGTACGCAACTTAAACAACTTTTAAGGTTTCATTTCGTATTAATGTATTTATAACAATAATACATGTCGTACTGAAATAGAAGTAGATAACAGAAATAGCATTTGCGTTAAGGCGCAGCGCAGCTAGCTACAGTTGCACTAGTAACGTGCTCGTCATTGCCGTACACATAACAAGTACAACAGTTTCGTTCGCTGCGAAACAGCGGCTGTTCCGTGGTGCTGACCAGGGGCGTGTTTACTTTGTAGTACTAAGGACCCACCATGAGGTCATCTCGATGCTCTAGCCGGGTCACCACGGTCGTCCTCGTTGCTTGTTGTGTCTCATATCCTCTTCGCCACGTACTGCTCGGCTCTAGAACGAACTTCCCATCACCTCTTTCTTAGAAGGACATAGTATAAGTACAAAGAAAAAACCGGAAAAGAGTCTTAGTTAACTGCATCTCAACAACAGTCGTTGTCGTTGAATATCAGTGATCATCCACCGTCAGATGGGCCCAAGATCTGTCTGACTTTGAGGTCGAAAATAGAAGCAGAATAAAGTAAGAATATTTATGTAGAGCCTAATGATAGGAAGTAGAGTGTTAGAGTAGGTAGAGCAAGCCGGAATCGTACGCCCGTTTCTTTAGAATAGTTTCAACCCTGATTAATATCATGTAATATCTACTAAGGATAGAAAGACTTTAAGTTTTCTTATTTTATAAATGTTTTATGAAAACTGAGTGAACTTAGTTAGAGTACTCTACAAAGCTCTATCTAAAAATGTAGCGATATTGTTTCTCTAATCCGTAAACTAGATAAAAGACGGAGGATTTGTCTTAATCTTGAAACTTTGTTTCAAATCGCCTTTGACAAAGTTAGTTTGACATTAACGCTGAGTCTGTATTATATTATTTACCTGACAGGAACAGAATTTTCTTTTCAGAATTCTTTCAGAATGAAATTCTTTAACATCAGATCAATTACACAATTAAGGTTTAAACTATTTTTTTAATACGAATTGTTTTGTTTCGAAGCTAAGATTTAGCTTAGAGAAATATCAAGATTGTAAAACTTGATACTAACATATGCGAGAAGAAAATATGTATAGTTAGGAACAACGGGCTCCAACATTCTGCCGGTGCCGTCAGCGTCAGCGGCACTGTACGATAGTAATGTTCCTGTTAAATTCCCACGATTTAAACTTAAATGTTTTAAGCTGTAATTAGTTCTAATGTATTTTAGGTACATACAGCCGTTTTTAGTAAAATATTTAATTTAATTTTTGATCTAAATTATCAAGTAGAGACCTCAAGTAACAAGGCAAAATCATCCCACGGATCTGCCTGTATTCTGGGGAATTTTTACATTGGGTGGACAAACCATCAGACTCTGCTCATCTTGAACCACGAGGGGAAGTCTGTCCTAATAGTAACACACAACAACCTCCCTACCTATGCTAATAGCCTTGAGAGACTATTTTAGCTTCTCCTAGACGTGTAGGTGAGCTCACGGGGCTCAAACCGGAGTGTTGCTAACATTGGCCCTAGCAGGAGCAGTGCATCGCAGAATCTACCACCGGATCGGAATCGCTGAGAAGATCCGGCGAGAAACTCAGTGGGCTGTGTCTGTGGGTTAATAATAACACACGGCTCCCTCAGTAATATTCCAAAAGTTCTGCGAGTATTTAACCGGGAACTAGATTCCTTTTTGTGATGTTTTTATGTCGGCAGCAATAAACATTGTCGGATTTTCATTTGATTGCACTAAAAGCCTAGAATTAGGTTATAGATGGCCTTGCAAATTGGCGCACAGTACTTTGAGACGTTAGTTGTGGGACGCGGAAGGAGAGCGCGCGGCGCGACCCGTCACTCCGGACAATTCTGGCGAGAGGAGCGCATCAGTCGGTATATTTTTCAAAACGTAAATAAATTCGACAAATTTATAGTTCTATGTTTCCGCTATTTCAAGCCGAAGACGAATTATTGGTTCCCGCCACAAAATGATCCAAATTTTGCATTAACTGATAATTATCTATTTCTTTTACTTCATTATTGTTTATTGTCTTATTCGATTCATTGTTTTTTAAGAAATTTCAAACACTTCTTTAAACGGACAATTTTCTATTTACCGTCTCGGATGTGTCGCGTAATATGTTGGTACTACGCTATCGCTTGATCGGAGATCGTTTTATTTTGTCGGATATGTGCCTAACAGATTCCAAAGTCCAAAGAATACTGCGGGTCGTGCCACATCCGAACAAGTGCAGAAATTGTAATTTGAACGCTTTGGATAAGAAATTTTGATCTACAAAATGAACCCTGTGATCGCCTGGGTGACGAACGCGTTATGTTGCTTAACAGACACAGAAAATAACACACACACACACACACACACACACACAGAACACGTATAGTCACTTCCGATGAAAAACGCATTCTATTTAATAATCATAAACGGTCATCATGTTGGTTAGACCCCGGGCTCAGCGCCGCTCAGCACCTACACAATGCACGAAACGAAAACTTATCTCTAAAAAAATAATGGTTACTGTTTAGTGGTCTAGTGCATCGCACGGGTCTTGCTCTGTTGAGCTCCTACTGACTACTCCTACTAAAGTTACATATCAAAGATAACGAAATATGTCATTTCTCTTGAAAGTTGTAACATCGCAACGGTGGCGCCTCTTGTAAAGGCTGACCCACCTCGAGATATGAGTTATAAGGTCACCGTTTTAACATTACAACGGCTGCCCCGCCCTTCAAGCCGAAACGCAAGAGTGTTCCCAGAGCGAGAGGACAATATGTCTTACTTTAACAAGGCTCAAGGAGAGAATGACATAGAAGGAAGCAGTAGTCAGCAGTACGGCTCTGTTCAGCACCTGACGCTGTCCATGGGCGATGAAGACAGTATCACGTCAGTTGGCCCGCGAGTTCGCCTCCTCTCGGACACTCCAATCTTTGTTTGAAATTTATTGTAATGAATAATACATAACGTGATGGCTGCGTTACGTCGTGAGCCCGTGCGCAGGCGTGGCCGCGCGGATTTCAATACAATAACAATTTACAAATACTATCTTGAGCGAATAATACGTTTAAGATACTATAATTGTTATTGTCATTTTAATTGCTGTAATTAACCTTTTAAATGAAATAATTAGCGGTTTTATTGCTATCAAAGTTCAAGAGCTTATCTAAAGTTCATAATGTGGCGCGGTACAATGTAGAATTAAATTTAATTCAATTACATGTTGTCCTTAATTACTTATAATAAATGTATGTGATAATCTACAATGAAATATTTTAAATTTACCGAAACACTTCACTACCAAAAATTGTACCTGAGTTATTT